TTTAACGTTGTACAATTGTGGACCTTTCAGTTAGGCTCAAAGGCAGATTAGGTTAACTTCTAATTTTTCTAGGGAAAGCAATAAAGCTACCCATTCAAGAGTTAAGTGCAATATTGTATATATTAATTTAACACGGGATTTGTTATTTTCCAACAGAACCACAAAATCAGCATTAGGACAACTCGTTTATGCCTACACTGACAGGAGCAGACTGACACAGATCAACTCACATCTTTGGGTTCGGCATTAAACTTCCTGGGCAGGAGCTGATCATTTGGTATCAGGCTTGCTGGAGCTGCTCCCCAGGACTTTGGAGGAATCTGTGACTGTGGCGTCACGGGGTGCTTCTGACTCTCAATGCTGTTCTCCCAGGATTTTGGCATCTCTGGCTGTTTTGAATCCTGCTCTTCACACAGGGGAGGAGTCCACGACTTGGTGATATTCTGCTCGCTCTGCACAGGCGTCCAAGACTTTGGAGTTTGCTTCTTTGGATCCTGCTCTTTCTGCAGCTGAACTGGCCAAGGCTTTGGTGTCTCCTTCTTCTGCTCCTCTTGAATGTATCCTGCCTTGGATTTAGGCGTTTCTTGCTTCCACAGGCCAGGAGGTGGCTTGGATTTGGAGACCTCCTGCTGCTTCTGCTCTTCTGGCAGAGTAGACCTGAGTTTTGAAATTTCTGGTTTCCTCTGTTCTAAGGAAACCGCAGGCTTTGCGACCTCCTGGTGCTTGACAGGAGACTCCCAGGACTTGAAGGATTCCTGTTTCTTCTCCTGACCCTGGGGATCAGTAAGCATATCCCAACATTTAGGGAGATTTGGTTTTCCGGCATAATCTGCTTCCCAACACTGCTCTTCCTCTTGTTTGTTTGAATAATCTACTTCCGTCATATAGCGCCTGTTAAGAAACTAGACCAGAGAAATAACGTGCTTGAGTCACAAAATTCACAGAAGACTAGGAAGGGAATAGTCTACTCTATTAGCATTCCTGTGCCCACCGGTCTGAGCCACTGCGCTGACATGAAACTTCTGTCCTTACCCCCATTTAAGAAACCGTCCTACTTGTTTGTCCGTTCCTGTTTCCTCAGTTAACAGAAAGATAAACTTTGATACTTCAAAATAGCGATTTCCATCTGACTCACCTAAGACGGGCAAGGTCTGCACAGCACGGACCACGTCTGCTTCCCTCAGGCTCTCGCCACGGCTATGCTACCTCTGTCAGCCTCGGGACACCTGGACCCTTACAGGCTAAGGCAAAGGATGGTTCAACTTCCAACTACACAAAGTTACATCCCAAGTTATACTGTTTGACTTGAAGCTTTCTGTTTCCCAAATCACCAGCCTCCAGCCTTTATTTCCCTTATATACCAATTACACTGTGTTTTTGCGTCTCTGATTTTCTTCAATTTCTGTGAATTCCAACATCTTTTCAGGAAGTCAACAAATGCACTTTTTTTTGCTTCCCACATGGGTAAATTCTGGAGAAAGCAAAGTCCTATACTTCTTTAAATTTTAACACAGAGGCAAAAAACAACCTAAACATGGGCAGTTAAGTGTGCAAGGCCAAGTTCTAAGTAGTTTATTTATTTATTTGCCTTTTGAGGCAGAGTCTTACTTTGTCACCCTGGTTAGAATATCATGGCGTCATAGTTCACAGCAACCTCAAACTCTGGGGCTCAAGCAATCCTCTTGCCTCAGACTCCCAAGAAGCTGGGACTATAGGTACCCACCACAGTGCCCGGCTTATGTTTAAAGATGGGAGTCTCACTCTTGCTCAGACTGGTCCCCTAAGCTCAAGCAATCTACCAGCCTTGGCCCCCCCATAGTTCTAGGATTACAGTCGTGACCCACTGTGCCTAGAATTCTAAGTAGTTTAAAATTTAGGTTAACTTCTTTAATCCTCGCAATAACCTCACAAAGTAGGCATTACCATTATCCCCATTTTTCATGTTAGGCTAACGGACACAGCTGGGCTAGATGTCTTGCCCAAAAGTCACTAAAAGCTAGTACACTGCAGAACCAGGACTCAAGCTGAGGCAGACTGGGCCAGAGCCTCGCCTTCTAACCACAAACCTACACAAAGGGCTAAAAAACCAACATCAGCGAATTCACTTTCATTGTCTTACCTCCTGCGGTTGTATCTCTGGCTGTGCAAGTTCCATGAGAGACTCTAGAAAATAAAAGGAAATCTAAATAAGCACCAGGTAAACCATTATGTTTTTAGACAGGCTATAAATATAAGTCATTCCAGCCACGTATTTCAGAAGACACAGAAAGAAGGGTAACAGAAAAAGGACAGTACAATTAAGCATATGGCAAGAGCAATTTTAGTTATTCCCTGTTGGTCAAAAGCATGTAGGCTGAGGCTGGCTGAGGCTAGTAGCTATCCTTATATAAGATACTTACAGAAGTCAAGTTTCAGTTAAAAACTGATTTTGGAATGAAAATAAGACTCTATCTCCTCTCACCCACAATATAGCTTTTTTCAAGTTAGAAGCATAGCCCAGGTCCCATGGAATAAAAATTAGTCATCTTAGCTTTCAAAAGAGCCCCTATGACCTCTTCCAAGTCAGTTTAAGGTTACAAGGGGGGAAGGGAGCGGAGATACCGAAGCACTAGATTTAGAATTAAGAACTAAGAGGAAGAAAAGAAGGAAAATCACTTGACTCTTGCTTGCAGCTACCAGAATCCTAACAGGACTTTCTTCTTAGAAGAGAGATTTCTTTGGTAACTTCAACAAACAAAAGCAAAAATGCCATTTGCTCAAAATAGTTCTTCCCTTAGACAATGGTAATTTACTGATTTTGGCAATTTTTTTCCTGAATAATTTTTTGAGACAAAAAATTATTACCACGGTTACCCCAGGTAGAGTGCCACGATGTCATAGCTCATGGCAAACTCAAACTCCTGGGCTCAAGCGATCCTTCTACCTCAGCCTCCTGAGTAGCTGGGACTACAGGCACAGTGCTACCATGCCTGGCTACTTTTTCTACTTTTGGTAGAGACACAATATGAGTATCACTCTGGTTCAGCCTGGTCTCAAACTCCTGACCTCAAGTGATCCTCCCACCTTGGCCTCCCAGAGTGCCAGGATTACAGGTGTGAGCTACTGCACCCAGCCGTGAACCAATATTTTAACCTCAGTTTACATTCACATTCTACTACAGTATCAGATTCTACTATAGCCTACATTTTAAACAATTTTAAATGGAATTATCCTACTAATAGCTTAACAGAGAGGTTCAGTCAAACTCCACAAATGCCCCATTTTAACCAATGTACTCTCTCAGCTAAAGGTTTAAACTATAAAGCCAATTATGGCAATAAAGCCTATAGATGTTTTCTCAGCATAGGTTTATCCTGAAGCAAGTAAAGATTTCCACGCATATAGAACTTAATGAATTAAAATAAGGACTATCAATGCACATTTTAGGTGTTAAAAAATGCAACCACTATAAAGAACTTCAGAGATCACAGCAAACCTGATTCCTTGACAGATTCAGTCTTCGATAATTGTTTTTTCTTCTCTGATTGTATTAGCTTTTCTTCTTCCGATGGTACTTCTTTTTCCTTGGCATTTTTGGGAATGGGAATACTTTCAAAATAGCCTGAGTTCAGCAATTTAGACAGCAGATCTTTCATATGTTTGTCTAAGGAAGAGTGGTTGAAGAGCAATTATCACATAATTCAACAGTTCACTGAAAATCACTCAGAATAGATATCCTAATTGTATCCTAAGTATTGTATATCATTACAATAGTTTATATTGGAAGGAATGGAGAACTGTTCAGTACCATGACAGTGAATGTGCAGTCCATCCTCAGAGACCCTAATCAACAACTCTAATGTGTCACAAAAGCACACATCTGTTCCCTCAGCTGAGAAAACAAATCATTTTTCCATCTGGCCCCAATCACATCTAGCAACTACTCCATTTTCCCCAAGATAGTAAGGCTTTGGAGAAGCAGAAGACAGTTGCTCAAACATACCGCTATTAGACAAGGTTAGAAATCCTATCTTAGATAGGATTTTAAACTACAAAGAAATTTTAAACTACAAAATTCCATGATTAAGATTTTACTCTTGAGTTATGCTGTATGTCACTCCTAGCACATTTGAAGATCAAGAAAAATCAAAATGATGTTAAAGTCAACACACTACAACACTTATTTTAAGACTCTCCTTCAAAGCAGTTTCCATACTTGACTTGGGTCTATATTACTCCTTTCCCATGAGTAATACGACTTAGATTGTCTTTTTTTTAAACCAGCTTTCAGGTTTAATTTATAAACAAAATTCACCTATTTTAAGAGTGTAAGTTTTAAAAGAGATATAGTCGTATTGTCACCAGACATGAAATAGAGTATTTTCATCAGTCCAGAAAGTTCTTCATGCCTCTTTTAGGATCAATCTCTGCCTTGATCCCACCCACCTTCCTTAAAATCAGTAACCTGCTATTATTCTAGTTATGTCATTCCTAATATTTCATATGAATGCTATTATACAACAGGTAGTCATTTACTATCTGGCTTCTTTCACTCAGCATAATTATTTTGAGATTCATCCACGTTACTGCATGTATCCACCGTTCATTTTTTTTCTTATTGCTGAGTAGATTCCTCCATATAAATATACCGTATTCTGCCCATCAGTTGATTAGCTGATGTGCCTCTGTCCCGTCTGGGGCTATTATGAATGAAGCTAATATGAATACCACTCATGTACAAATAGTTATATGAACACATGTTTTCATTTCTCTTGGCTACTAGGAGTATAACTGCTTGGCTTAGGGTAAATGTAAACATAATTTTATAAGAAACTACTCAACTATTTTCCAAACTATTTTAGTACCATTTTGTATTCTAACCATGACATTAATTAGAAGTCTTGAGATTGTTACAAATACATAGGGATTTTTTTTTTAAAGGAAGCAATCAATGGTAATAAAAATGTCTACTAGCTTCTAGGGAGTTTTTATTATTCTAAACTATATATGCAAAGCTATGTACCTCATGTCCAGCCATCTGAACTTGGTCGTGTGGCCAATGGCTATTTAGGATGCCAAAAGCACTCACTCTCCTCTCTAGATCATTTCCAGATTGATAGAAAAAAAAAATGTTTCAATGGACTTTATAGCTAAACCGTTCACATTTTCTTAGGCTAATCTGGTAGATAACCAGATATTAATATCAAGGTAGGTAACTTTGATATTAAAAGGCAGATAACCTTGGTATTATCTGATAACCAAAGTGTACACCAGGTACTACCATGCAGAATAGAGAATGGAACCTCAAAATGATCAAGCTAGTGTTGACACCAGTGCTAGTACTTAGCTCTACTCCCAAGTCATATTGACTTGCCACTTCAAACTTCTCCCGAAATTCCATTTTAGAGATTAGGGTCACAGGATAGCTGCTTTTTTTTTTTTTTGAGACAGAACCTCAAGCTGTCCCCCTGGGTAGAGTGCTGTGGTATCATAGCTCACAGCAATCTCCAACTCCTGAGCTCAAGTGAGTCTCCTGCCTCTGCCTCCCAAGTAGCTGGGACCACAGGCGCTCTCGACAACACCTGGTTATTTTTTGGTTGCAGCTGTCATTATTGTTTGGTGGGCCCAGGCTGGATTCAAACCTGCCACCTTAGGTGTATGTGGCTGGCGCCTTAGCTGCTTGAGCCACAGGCGCTGAGCCACGATAGTTGCTTTTAACAGAACTAAACAAAAAGATCATTCTCCTGATGAATACAGTATTGTCAGATACAAGTTCTGATGGACTGACACAGTTTAGACCCTCAATACCATACTAAACTTCTAAATGTCAAGTTCAGTATTCACTGCATAAGTCCAGAGTAGAGAAAACTCACATGTGGTTCCTACCACCGCTTTCTCGCTCCCTTCCAAAAGGTCCCAAAAGTACAAGGATGACTGCTCCATCTGGTCTTCAACACTGACAAGGAAAAGCAGCAGCAGAACAAAGTGGCTTTAGAAATACGTTAATATTCGGAGCAGCACAATTTATGCAATATGACCATCAACAGTCAAGATGTTCAGGCCTTCCTCTCATTCTTTCACTCTTTGGAAATAAAAATTATACAAGGTCACAAAATGCCTGTTCATAAATTTCAAATAGAAGAATTTTTCCTTAAAACAAAGATTTTAGCAAATACAACTACTAAAAAATAGAACAAAATAGCTTAAAGCTGCTGATGTGGTATCATTAGTTACTAAGTACAGGCCCTGGATGAAAGAATGGTAGAATCAAAGTATTAAGAGCTGCATTTTTTTACTTTAAGGAGAGCAGCTTGGTTTGCTAATAATTATGTTTTCCTTACATTTCATATATTAAAGTATAGTACATTCCATAAAACCACAAAAGGGAAGGAGGAGAAGGAAGTAACCCCGTAATGATACTGGAGTAGACTACCAGCGTGGGAATAAAAAGATTCACATAAGGCTGTCTTAAGGAAGAGTTTCAATAGCTCTTCCTGATCAGAGGCTGATTTCTAGTAACAGTTGAAATCTGGCCCCGCTTTAGCAGGGCTGCCTAATAGACACAAAGCTGGAACAACCTATATCTAACAAAGCAAAAGCACACATGTCTGTCCCTTAGCTGGTTCATTCCATCAAAATGAAAACAGCAAATGGATAACTCTACGGGGGAAAAAAAACAGGTAGCCCCCATTTACAGGTTTTGTATTTTAAATTAATAGATCTATCTCTCAGTAGTTATTCACAGCACACTCATTAACAAATATAATAATTCTGATTTTGAAAGATTAAGGATACTGGCCAAGTTAAATCTTATTTACCTCAAGTACAACAGGATTGGTAAGGCAAAGACTCTAAGAAAATTACTAAAAAGGTTTTTTTTTTTTTCTAAAAAAGTTTTGGAAGGATACCTAAGTAGTATAGTTAATACTTATATAGAATTAAAATGTGATGATTAGGCATTATTTCTAAAATCAATGTTACAATAAAGAAGTGTATTAATGAGACCATTCACATTCACTTTCCTAGATAATCTATCAGTCCTTGCAGAGGCTGGGCCAGTCAAGTTTCCCAGACTGAA